CTGCCAAATTCCAACTCTGTCAGTTGGGTCTCAAATACTGAGCATCATTTGAGGTACTGGCAAAAAAACTTGGAACCCCAGAATGCAGGAAGTGGAAGGGATCTACAGCATCACTGAGTCCAGCTCCAACATTAGGCAGTTGGGAGAAGCTAAGGCTTGGGAGGGAAACAGACTTGTTTATGGAAATAACAAACAGAGAATCTGAACTCAGGTCTTCTGACCCTGACCTTGTGCCAGCAGCTCCCAGTCCTGAGAAGGGAAAGGAACCAGACCTTCCCTAAGAACCTACTATGCACCTGTTTTTACTAGTGGGAACTTTATGTACAGCATCTAATTTAAACCTCCTAGGGTATCATCCCCAGTGAAAAGGCAGTTGACACTGAAAGACAGGTCCAAGTCAAAGGCCACAGAGGCAAAATGCAAACGCCCTTCACCAGCTCCCAGACCTACCTGCTTTCTTAGAGTTCCCAGGTCGATGCTCCAAGCCTTTCCAGAAATAATAACAGGATCAAGGCTTTCTGGGGCGCGCTGGTGGTGACTAGGACTTTACTTAGCACTGGGTAACTGGTGTTTGTTCACAATCTGCTTCAAGTTGTTGGTCACATCTGGGGACAAGGAGGGTACCTCCTCTGGGGGTGTATGCAAGCATTGGCAAGGTGGGGGGCTTTCTCTACACGGAGTTTATCACTCCACAAGATGAAGCTGCCTGCTATCCACCGTGCTCATTTGATCACTTCCTGGGTTTTATGATGTTAATTTAAGCTCTGCAGCCAAAGTGACTTTCTCAGTTACAGCAGTGTGCACTTAAATGTCAGAGCTCTGCTGAAAAACTGCTTGCGTTTGAAGGAAGTCATTGTATTCAGTAAAATCTAGCCACACTTTACATTTATGGCCTTTATTAGGGATCCAGCTGAGCGAGTCAGAACCTCCAGTCTATAGTTAGACTGACTCTCGAATCACTCATTCAAATGCCTTCTAAATGCCGGTGTACACAATATGATCCTTGCCTTCCTGGAGCTTATACTCTAGCAGGGGGAACAGACATTGAAAGAATAAATACATGAATAGAAGTATAATGAATAGCATTACTAAGAAAAAGGGCAGGTCACTGAAGTATCCAGAGGGGATCTACTTTAGACCAAGTGGGTCAAAGGAGGTAATATTTGAGCTGGATAGCATGTTGGGGAAAATTATTTCAGAAAGATGGAATAGCAGGTACAAAGGCACAAAGACAGGAAGGAACTTGGGTGTGGTCAGGAAATACATTGCTCAATGTCCATCCAGATGCCACAAGATCTAGCCTAGGGCTGACATGTGTCAGGTGTCCCCAGTTCCTGTAAGACTCAGCACATGCCTCACTTGTGGTAAGATGAGGTCACATGCACCCTATGTAAAAATTAAGTTCTGCATCTCGGTAATTGCTTCCTGTGCTCTGTGACTTTACCTGCCTTCTTGGTTACTGACTCTTGGCCTTCATTTCTGAGCCTCCCCTTTTGTGCTCACCTCTGCTACATTCCCTCCTCTTGGCAGTCCTGCCCCCTGGAACTGACCATGTGAAGCCATCATTCTGTACCGCACCTACCCTCCATCCAGGGGCTCTGCTTTTCCAGCACAGTCCTTCCTGGCTACAGCCTCCATCTGAGTTGGGCCTTGCTACAGCGTGCCAGCTGCAACATGTCCCATGCCCGGCTCCCTTTCCCTACTTCTTCATCCCCTTTTCCATCTGAGCCCCCTTGGAAGTTTCATGATGCTTCATGCCAGTGATCTTTCCCATCCTTTGTCTGCCATGAGGGGGTCTCTGAAATCAGCTGCAGGTAGGGACTTTCAGAGGTCTTTCTGTGTCAGGCATTGGTCAGTGGAACCACTCATCACCCAAGGATCAGAGAGCACAGGCTTTCTCTTGTGAATTTCAGTGTCACTGGGCTGGGTCCAGAAGTTGGGGGGGTAAACACACCAAATCTGTGTCCTCTGCTCCAGTGCCTAGAAGCTTCCAGGAACCCAGCAGCTGTGTCCAAGGCAGATGCCACCACCCTTCCCATACATGAGTTCCTTGCCACTGAATAGAGGGGAGTGGGCATGAGCTCTGGGTTCTCAAGTGCTCCCACAGCCTCTATGGAGGGGCCTCCTGTTGCCTCTCCCCTCTGGGCTGGGCTCTCTGGAAGGCAGCCTGTCTGCTGTCTGCTGGGCTTCAGCCAGATGCATGAGTCCTTCACAGTCGTTTGTTCCCTGAATGTAGATGTTGGCAGGAATCAAACAGCAGCAATTATAATGGCTAATGTAAAATAATAATGTGCTTAGACTGAGAGCTTATAGTGTCCCAGTATTATGACAGGGGCTTCCCGAGCCCAGAGCCCTGTGCAGAAACCACTGTCATGCACATTTCATAGACAAGAGGTTAAGTGGCCCAAAGTCACCACATGGCAGAGCCAGAATTAATCCAGAAGTCCTGTCCCTACCTCCCTCACTTCCATCCATACAGTGTTGACATGGAGGCAGGCACAGGGTTGAACACATATCTGTACCCCATCCCCTTCTGCTGGACAAAATTGAGGCTTGGGAGGAGAAGCAGCCTACCAAAGGTGCTGCAGCAGGTGACAGAGGCAAACAGTTTGAGTCCAGCTCTCACTGGCTCCAAAGCTGAGATTTAAAGCACTGTATACTGTGCAACCACCGCACCTTGGCTGGAAACCTGTGATCTGTTCAGAGCACCATTCAGCACTTACCTAATGGAGAATCTGGTGAAGAGCCTGAGAACATTTTGAAAGCAGGAAGGAAATAGTTAAACAAGCAATTACAGGAGTTCTGTGATGAGGAAAGAGAGGGCAGGGACCACAGAACGTGAGAGGCTAACCTAGCTGAAGGGGATACAGTGAAATGGTGCTGAACTGGCACCCCGAGAAGGAGTGGGGAGAAGTGAGAGAGGGATGGGTGTGTAGGTGCATGTGCAGAAGCCCAGCCATGAGAGGAAAACCAGCTGGAGGAAGCAGGTATCAGGGCGGCTGCAGCACAGAGTGTGTCAGGAAGCAAGCACAGGTGGACAGGGAGCAGGCCCAGCGGCTTCCAGGGCTGTGCTGGGGAGGGCACAGGGCAGGGGAGACATCATCCAATTTACACCTTCAATAGTCACTGGCTGCTGGGTGGAGGAGAGGGCGGAGGAGGACGGCATGAGGGAAATGGTTTGGAGGCTATGCAGAGTCCAGATGAGACATGGCAGCGGTCTGGACAGGGCCGTGGCTGCAGGATGGGGAAGAAACTGGATTCCAGAGCAAAAGAGTGAGTTCACATGGCTCCTTTAACTGTGAGCCTGAGGGCACCCTTCTGATCAGAACCACGGCAGAGGTGCCCACTCTAAGGTGAGGTGGTGAACTGACTGACTGAGAAACAGGTCTCGTCATAAAAGAGCTTTGTTACGAATCATGTTCTGTGTCATGTTGCTGAAATATGTCTAGTAATAGCCAGTTCCAGTTGCAAAAAGAATAATTATCCTGACTCTGTGTGTGGTCAATAACATATTCATAGGCTTTCATGGAAATCTGAGCAAAGTGAATTGGAAGTCAGCACGATTCCTATAATGTGTAGGTCACAGAAATGAAGGGGCACAGCCTTAGGCTTATCTGATGCCCAGACCACCTTTGGGGGTGGGAACTCCTTTCAATGCATGGTCCCGGGGAGAGCACTGAACTCCCGTGGGGGTCAGACACATCCCTTTGTCTCCAGTACCAGCTGTGTGGTCTTCAGCAAGGGGCAGCCCTTAGTCTCAGTTTCCTCATTTGGAATTGGAAATAATAAGAACGACTTCCCAGGTGTTCTGAAAATTCTTCTGTATCTAATGTGCATAGTAATAGCCGAGACCAATCAAGTCCTGATTGTGTGCCAGATATTCATCAGATCTGACCAGTATCTCAGATTCATCCCACATTTATTATATCAACCATGTATTGGTTGATTGACTGATTAAACATCAATCACTGACATATTTATCCAACAAGTATTTACACAGTACCTCTGTGTACTAGGCCTTGTGTTAGGTGCTGGAGATGAGAAATGATGAGACATGGGAGTTCCGTCCTCCAGAACCACAGAGTGAGGGAACGGGCCTGACCCACCTACAGGTATGCTGTGGTATCAAGAGCTTTGAGGCCAGAGGATGGAGCAATTGGCTCTGTGCCCAAGAAGTAAGCAGAGGCCCCACAGTGAGGGGCCATGTAGCCAAGATCTTGAGAGAGAATATTTTTTCAATGGGAGAAGGAGTGGAGAGGGCAGTCTAAAATTACAGATGGAATGGGCAAACGCTTCAAAGTACAGAGGGAGGTGCACATTCCAGCCACACTGAAGGTTCAGTGTGGCTGGAATGATTGTGGTAGGAGCTCCAAGACACTGTTCCTTGACACTAAGAATGCAAGGTCACTTTTCTTTATTTTTCAAAATCAAATTCTATCCAGTTCACAGGGTCGTGAAAAGTTTCATATCATCCCTCTTCTTTGTAGCCTCCTCCCCCCTTGGGGTCTATCAGAACTCAGGGCCCAGGAAAGATGGAGCAGGAGGGCATCTCTCTCTCTCCCTGTGGTGATCACTAACTTGTGTCCAGACCATGTTTAGATGACGTCTCTGCCTGTCCCTCCATGTCAGGCACTGCTGCAGAGACCATCATCAGGGGTGTTGATAGCTTTTCCCCCGGTGGCAAGGAGAACCAGGTCTATGATTACAAGACATTTAGTGTCTTCTGTGGTGGGGATGGAAGGGGGAGAGAAGGTGCATTAATACTTGGCTAGTAAGTCCACAGCAATGAGAAAAGACACAAGTTAATGACTCAATAACCTTCCTTCCTGCTATAGGAATAGAAATAAGGTAGAGCTCACTCCCTTTGCAGACAGTGGTCTGAGAGACAAGGGGAAGAGAGCTAAATCTGTCCATGTCCATGTTGAGTGGTCACCTGTGATCTGATTTAGAGGCTCAAAGTCGGGTCTGGGTGCTGATGAGTGGCTCTGTGTCTTTTGCAGGTGTGGCAGTGTGGCGGGAGCGTGGAGGTCCTGCCCTGCTCTCGGATTGCCCACATTGAGAGAGCCCACAAGCCCTACACTGAGGACCTCACAGCCCACGTCCGCAGGAATGCCCTCCGCGTGGCTGAAGTGTGGATGGACGAATTTAAAAGCCATGTCTACATGGCATGGAACATTCCCCAAGAGGTAGGGAGGCCTGTGGGGATGGGTTTCTTGGAATTTGGTGGGAAAAAGCAAAGAAACTAAAACAAATATGGGAGTAAACCCTTCCTGCCATGGATCAACCAGAGTCTTGTTAGCCAGGCTAGCATGGACTCAACCACAAAGCTCTACCTGTGGAAGAAGGGGGCTATGAGGCACTAAACCGTGTCCTATCCCCACCCCTGTCTCTGGTTGGCGTGCTTGAAGAATGGCTTCTTTCCAGATTTCAGTGTCCTCTTTTGAAATGAGAAACTTGTACCAAGAGGCTTCAAGTTTACCTCATGCTCCCAGGTCCTCAGCTTCTCTGCTCCTGGATTGCAAACATACCAGAAATTACCAGCATTCACAGAGTGCACATTAATCTCCCTGTAGACTAGATTCAGACTTCTCCCTTGACCTTTTCACTGGAGCAACAAGGAACATCCATATCCTTTGGGATTTCTTGAGGCAGATGGATGGGAAGGAATATACTCCCACAGGGACCCTCAGGAGGAGCAAGGAACTATTCTGGACATTTTATGGCTGCATCTAACCTTCACTTACCACAATGCACCCATCCACAAAGAGCCTTATCATTGCGTGCCACTGTCCTCTATCCCTTTAGTCATCGATGCTTAAGAAGTGCCAGAGAGAAAGAAATATTTCTCTAGTAGATTTGTTCAGTCTTGCCCTGTGTTGTATGGAAATGACCTTGGACCACTGATTTGGGAAAACCCAACAGATGCCTGCCACAGGATCGCAACCTGCCTAACAGCCAGTCTGGCTGGAGATCGTCGCTTTATGCTGCATTCTATATGAGACACCTGTTGACTGATGACCTCCTTCTTTCCTCCCAAGGCTACAGCTTCTCCCTGAGAGTCCTTTAGAAAGCCTCCACTCTCTCTTCCTAGTAGGGAAATGATTGATCTTTACTTAAAGATTCCATTCTTATTTCCTGATCTCTCCACCAAGCTCACGTTGCTCTGGCTGAGTAATTGAGAAAGTAGGCCTGGCTGTGGGCAGGATCTTTTAGGCAATCCCCCAGCCACCACCGCCATGGGGAGGGGGTGGATGGAATTGTGTACTCCCACAGCCAGTGAAGTTTCTTCATCGGGGAGAAGAATGAGGAGCCAAGGGGCACCAGCCAGGCCAAGGCCACCCAGTGAGCCAGTGCCAGGACTGTGCCCTTGACCGTGGGAGTGTCTCTAGGGAAACCGCAGTGCCTTCTGGACGCATCTGTGGCTGTGGGTGTTGGATCACTGTATTCTGGGCAGGATTCCGAGCCCCGCTGTGAGTGTCCTCTGAAAGCACAGTGTTAAGAACACTTGGAAACTCCCCAGAAGCTCACCCAGAGGCATTGTAGATCCCAGGGCTCCGTGAAAGCCTTGGGGTCTTGTCCACACTCCTACCCTCTTCTCTCTGTACACCAAAGCTGCAAACCTTCTGGTCCTCTACCCCCACTGCAGCTGCCAGATATTGAAACTGACAGCAAATTCAATAAATGGTAGAGAACTGAGTGAGAAAAAGAATTGGAAGATGATGAAACTCGGTGTCTGTCTGTGACTCATTAGGAGGGGTAGTTCAAGCCAAGTGAAGTGAGTAGGAGGTGGACCAAAGCAAACTGACCAAGGGAAGATGAGAGGTGGAAGTGCTCAGGACAGAGCCTCAGACTGAGAAGGAAGGAATCAGTGTGCTTCCTAAAGACCTGTCTCTTGAACCCCTGTTCTCTTTGTGCCCAAACTTTCTTTTCTACTTCTTATCAGACTTCTGGAAAGACTCAGTATTTTTTCACCTCCATTCACTTCTCAAGTCACATCCCAATATTAAAACAAAGTTGCTTTTGATGAAGTTATCATGGGCCTCCTAACTGCCTACTGCAATGGACATTTTAACCTACAGGATCCCTCCTTTTCCTTGAAAATCTGTACTCCCTCTCTCCCTGATTCCACACCCGGAATATTCTCATCTCTTTCCAATTGCTTCTGAGTCCTGTGGGCAACTCTTAGTCCCACTGAGTGCTGAAGTGTCTCCCGGGATGCATCCTTGGCCTGTGCTTGCACTATACACCATCTCCCCGAGCAACCCCAACTGCCCTCGGGTTCTTCTGCCACCTCTGCACTGACAGCTTCCTGCTTAACATCTCTTACCCTGACTTCTGCCTTTGCTTCAGACTGAATTACAGCGGGACATCTCCTGGGTGTTCCCACATGCACTTTACACTGAATCTGACTGAAACTGAGTGTATCTTTTCCCCCCAAAACCTGTTCCTGTTCTTATTCTCCATCTCAGTTCATAATATCACCATCTGCTCAGACATACAAGCTTGAAACTGAGCACCTCCCTTTAATTGTCCTCTCTCAAGGCCCATTCCCAGTCCCCACCAAGCCCTCCTTTCTGTTCCTACCTCCTCTCGTTGCTGAGTTCAGGCCTGTGTCTCCCTCTACAACAGCCTGTAACTGGTTCCCCTGGCTCCAGTCTTATGCTCCTCAAATCTATCCTACATTCTACCCAAAGTTATCTTTAAAAAAATTAAAAAATAAAACCTCAAAGTGATCATGTCATTGCCCTACTTAAAATCTTTATAGTATTGGTTGATTGACTGATTAAACATCAATCACTGACATATTTATCCAACAAGTATTTACACAGTACCTCTGTGTACTAGGCCTTGTGTTAGGTGCTGGAGATGAGAAATGATGAGACATGGGAGTTCCGTCCTCCAGAACCACAGAGTGAGGGAACGGGCCTGACCCACCTACAGGTATGCTGTGGTATCAAGAGCTTTGAGGCCAGAGGATGGAGCAATTGGCTCTGTGCCCAAGAAGTAAGCAGAGGCCCCACAGTGAGGGGCCATGTAGCCAAGATCTTGAGAGAGAATATTTTTTCAATGGGAGAAGGAGTGGAGAGGGCAGTCTAAAATTACAGATGGAATGGGCAAACGCTTCAAAGTACAGAGGGAGGTGCACATTCCAGCCACACTGAAGGTTCAGTGTGGCTGGAATGATTGTGGTAGGGGCTCCAAGACACTGTTCCTTGACACTAAGAATGCAAGGTCACTTTTCTTTATTTTTCAAAATCAAATTCTATCCAGTTCACAGGGTCGTGAAAAGTTTTATATCATCCCTCTTCTTTGTAGCCTCCTCCCCCCTTGGGGTCTATCAGAACTCAGGGCCCAGGAAAGATGGAGCAGGAGGGCATCTCTCTCTCTCCCTGTGGTGATCACTAACTTGTGTCCAGACCATGTTTAGATGACGTCTCTGCCTGTCCCTCCATGTCAGGCACTGCTGCAGAGACCATCATCAGGGGTGTTGATAGCTTTTCCCCCGGTGGCAAGGAGAACCAGGTCTATGATTACAAGACATTTAGTGTCTTCTGTGGTGGGGATGGAAGGGGGAGAGAAGGTGCATTAATACTTGGCTAGTAAGTCCACAGCAATGAGAAAAGACACAAGTTAATGACTCAATAACCTTCCTTCCTGCTATAGGAATAGAAATAAGGTAGAGCTCACTCCCTTTGCAGACAGTGGTCTGAGAGACAAGGGGAAGAGAGCTAAATCTGTCCATGTCCATGTTGAGTGGTCACCTGTGATCTGATTTAGAGGCTCAAAGTCGGGTCTGGGTGCTGATGAGTGGCTCTGTGTCTTTTGCAGGTGTGGCAGTGTGGTGGGAGCGTGGAGGTCCTGCCCTGCTCTCGGATTGCCCACATTGAGAGAGCCCACAAGCCCTACACTGAGGACCTCACAGCCCACGTCCGCAGGAATGCCCTCCGCGTGGCTGAAGTGTGGATGGACGAATTTAAAAGCCATGTCTACATGGCATGGAACATTCCCCAAGAGGTAGGGAGGCCTGTGGGGATGGGTTTCTTGGAATTTGGTGGGAAAAAGCAAAGAAACTAAAACAAATATGGGAGTAAACCCTTCCTGCCATGGATCAACCAGAGTCTTGTTAGCCAGGCTAGCATGGACTCAACCACAAAGCTCTACCTGTGGAAGAAGGGGGCTATGAGGCACTAAACCGTGTCCTATCCCCACCCCTGTCTCTGGTTGGCGTGCTTGAAGAATGGCTTCTTTCCAGATTTCAGTGTCCTCTTTTGAAATGAGAAACTTGTACCAAGAGGCTTCAAGTTTACCTCATGCTCCCAGGTCCTCAGCTTCTCTGCTCCTGGATTGCAAACATACCAGAAATTACCAGCATTCACAGAGTGCACATTAATCTCCCTGTAGACTAGATTCAGACTTCTCCCTTGACCTTTTCACTGGAGCAACAAGGAACATCCATATCCTTTGGGATTTCTTGAGGCAGATGGATGGGAAGGAATATACTCCCACAGGGACCCTCAGGAGGAGCAAGGAACTATTCTGGACATTTTATGGCTGCATCTAACCTTCACTTACCACAATGCACCCATCCACAAAGAGCCTTATCATTGCGTGCCACTGTCCTCTATCCCTTTAGTCATCGATGCTTAAGAAGTGCCAGAGAGAAAGAAATATTTCTCTAGTAGATTTGTTCAGTCTTGCCCTGTGTTGTATGGAAATGACCTTGGACCACTGATTTGGGAAAACCCAACAGATGCCTGCCACAGGATCGCAACCTGCCTAACAGCCAGTCTGGCTGGAGATCGTCGCTTTATGCTGCATTCTATATGAGACACCTGTTGACTGATGACCTCCTTCTTTCCTCCCAAGGCTACAGCTTCTCCCTGAGAGTCCTTTAGAAAGCCTCCACTCTCTCTTCCTAGTAGGGAAATGATTGATCTTTACTTAAAGATTCCATTCTTATTTCCTGATCTCTCCACCAAGCTCACGTTGCTCTGGCTGAGTAATTGAGAAAGTAGGCCTGGCTGTGGGCAGGATCTTTTAGGCAATCCCCCAGCCACCACCGCCATGGGGAGGGGGTGGATGGAATTGTGTACTCCCACAGCCAGTGAAGTTTCTTCATCGGGGAGAAGAATGAGGAGCCAAGGGGCACCAGCCAGGCCAAGGCCACCCAGTGAGCCAGTGCCAG